AGAACGTATCCCAACAAATATAACCTGGAAGATCTGATAAGGCGTGAAAGGCCGGATTTTTATAGATAATTTAATGTAGTGTTGAATGAGTAGAATATAAGTGATGAGTAAGTGATTCCCTGACGAGTGCACTCCAGCCATGAGTGGGCCGGAATGCAGAGTCGCATTCCGGTCGGTGTAGTCGCCGGGTCTGGAGGTCTGCAACCAAACAGTAGATCGTCGGTTCCGGGAGTGTCTGAGAATAAGCAGTCGCCACCTTGTGGTCCGTTTGTGACTTCGCCTAGGGAGGTGGTTGGCCAGTTGGCCGGACAGGTCCGTGACCTTAATCAGAGGTTTGACCGTCTAGCGCGAACGGACCGGTAGGCAAGAAAGCTGGACACTCGGGTCATGCCCCACAGGCATGTTAGCAAAGTATGGCGTAGAATAAGAGGTCGCTACATTATTCCCCCTCCTAGGAGAACAGAGTGAAAAAAATGTGGGAATATTAAGCAAAGGTTACAAATAAGTTACGGTCAGAAATACGCGTACCAAATAGAATCAGTGTTGAAAATGGAGTATAAACAGTGATATAGGAAAGTTGTGGATAGATAAGTGTATAAAAAAGGTTTACCACATAATGAAAGAGTGTTTATCAATTGTGTAATGTTGACAATATATGCCAGTAAGTCGGAAAGTTGGAAGGATAAATTGTGTTGGAATTATTTCGTCAATGAGTGCCAGTAGGTCGGCAAGGTGATAGGAGGAAAGTGTATCTCGTCAACTAAAGCCAGTAAGTCGGCGCGTTGGTAGGATAAAATAATGTCCTGGAATAATCCCGTCACCATATAACAGAAAGTCGACACGTAGGTATGAGGAAAGGACATCCTGTCAACGTATACCAGTAAGTCGGAACGTTGTGTAAACGGAATTGACGGCGCGATAAAGAAAGTTGGGTCACCAATATGAGATAGACAAGCGTAAGAGTCGACACTGTAGGATTTAGAGAACGTCAGAGTCGACAGTGTAGGATATTGAAGCGTCGGAGTCGAGTGTAGAATAAATAAACGTCGGGGTTGCAATGAAGAATATAGTGAACGTCGGGGTCGACAATGTGGGATACGATGTGGTCCGGCCAGATAATAGGCGATAGAACGTGCCACAACGAATATAAACTAACAGATATGATAAGGCGTGGAAGGCCAGATTGTGAGGGATAATTTAATAAGGTGTAACAAGCGTAGAATGTAAGCAATATGCAAGTGACTCCCAGACAAGTGCAGTCCAACCATGAATGGGCCAAAGTCCAGAGGCGCAGTCCGGCAAGTAGATCACCGGGTCCAGACAACTACAATCGAACAGCAGATCGTCGGTTCTGGGAGTCGTTCTGAGAATAAGCAGTCGCCACCTTATGGTCCGTTTGTGACTTCGCCTAGGGAGGTGGTTGGCCAGTTTGCCAGACAGGTCCGTGACCTTAATCAGAGGTTTGACCGTCTAGCGAGCACGGACCAGTAGACAAAAAAGCTAGACACTCGGGTCATGCCCCACAGGCATGTAAGCAAAGCAGGGATTAGAATAAGAGGTCGCTACAGAGTAATTATCACTGTTTGCAAGCACTTCTTCGTAGCAGACTCTCTATGTTTTTGACACTATCTGAGCGCCGTAAAATTTGGGCTTACTCCTGCTAAAATTCATCTGAAAATGTAGTTTCCCCCATGAATGTGCTCCTACGATTACCGAATAGATT